GATGGATTGATATGGTGGCTGCGATGATGGGATCAAGTATAGCAGGGATTGTGGGGCTGGCACGGGATTGGGCAGTGTTTCGTTCTGCTGTGCATGGGGTCGCTATGAGTCGGAAACGACTCGACGGCACTTAACAACAACAACAAGTTTTACTTTCTTCATGTATGATGTCCTTGATGTCATCTCACAACTTGTCTGGTCTTCAGTCATTTGTGTTCAGTGCCTCAAATCTGTTCTTCAGATGGTCTCTAAATTAAGGTGAGATAAAATCAAGGTTTTATTTTGGCTCTCATGGACTTGTTTTAATTTTCTCCAGCTTCCACTTGAACTTGCTTATGAGCAATTATTGTTCTGTTCCACAGTCAGTTCCTGGCCTTTTTTGACTGGTGATCTTAAACTTCCCCATCACCTTTTTCCAAAGAAGTAGTTGATTTGATTTCTGTGTATTCCATCTGATGAGTTCCACATGAATAGGTGCCATTTATGTTGCTGGAAAAAAAGATATTTGCAACGATTAAGTCATTGGTCTTGCAAAATTCTAGCATGCTATCTCTGCTATCATTCCTATCACCAAGGCTATTATTTTCCAACTACCAATGATTCATCTTTTTTTCCAACTGTTTCATTCCAATCACCAGTAATTATCAGTGCATCTTGAGAGTATGTTTGGTCAATTTCAGACTGCAGAAGTTGGTAAAACATCTTCAATTTCTTCATCTTTGGCTTTAGTGGTTGGTGTATAAATTTAAATAATAGTAGTATTAAGTGGTCTCCCTTATAAGTATATGGATATTATTGGTTTTTTTCCTAATTAAACAATCTGCTTAATCAGAATTAATCTTTAGAGTCATGAATTGATCATTTTTATCTCTGTAGGATCCCCGTTTGTCATACTGTGGTGGTAGGACAGCAGAGAGATGGGATATATGTTGAAATGTTCCTTTTGACAATCATTAAGATACCATTCCTCTTCAGTTTGTCATTCCCAGCATAGTAGAACATATGATTGTGAGATTCAAAATTGCCAGTGCCAATCCATTTCAGTTCACTAATGCCTAGGATATCAATCTTTATGAGTTCTATTTCATTTTGACCATTTTTGATTTTCCTAAATTCATTCTTTATACAGTTCACATTCTTATTATTAATGGATGTTTGCATCTGTTTCTTCCAATTTTGAGGTGTGACACATCAGCAGTTGGAAGCGCCAAAAGCTTTATTTCATTCATACCATTAAGGTTGATTCTACTTCGAGGAGGAAGTTCTTTCCCAATCATATTTTGAGTGTCTTCCAACCTGAGGAGCTCATCTTCCTGCACAGTACCAGACAATATTTCACTGCTATTCATAAAGTTTTTCAGTAATATATCAGACAATATTTCACTGCTATTACTAAGGTTTTCAGTGACCAATTTTTTTCAGAATTGGATAGCCCCACCCATCTTCTCAGTCTCTCTTAGTCTGGAAGCTCCACCGAATCCTGTCAACCATTCGTCGCCCTGCCAGTATTTAAATACCAGTGACATGGCTTCCAGTGTCACAGTAAGATGCAAGCCACCACAGTATGACCAATTGGGATCATAGAGAGCTAAAAATGATCAATTCGTGATTCTAAACATTAATTATTTAATTATTTAAAATAAAATTATTTATAATTAATTAATTAATTTCAACTAATTGTTTAATTAGGAAACAAAAAAAAAAAAAACAATTGCTGGTGACTTAATTCTGATTCATAGCAACCTATAAGACAGAGAGCTGCCCCATAAGGTTTCCAAGGCTGTAAATCTTTATGGAAGCAGATTGTCACATCCTTCTCTATTTAATTAGGAAAGGAGGATATTTTGTGTCAGACTGAAGGATTATAGGAAGCTCTATGAAGATTATTTAGTGTGTTGTCTGATGGGCATGCTGATATATATATATATATATATATATATATATAAGTAGTGGAGAAAAATTAGTTGTCAGGCTATTGTATGATGGAGGCCATTTCTCTTTTTCCAATAAGCATATATTGAGTATCTAAAGTGGTTAAGTCCTTTAATGTAAATATATGTTAATCCCTCCATAAATTTGAAGTGTTGCAATACAATCGGGAAAGCAGAGCCTCACAACCTCATCCACAAGACAACCAGGGTAGAGAATGTGCCAGTCTTTAAGACTGTGCTGATGGCTACTATGTGATATTTGGAGAGACCTCCTGAACTAGAGCTTTACCTCCAGCCACTAGTTGTTTCAGGTAAAGCAGAGTTATTCCTATCAGCTAATAAATACTAACTGAGTTTTATCAAGTACAGAAAGAAGAATTACTCACTCAAGATTTTTAATCTGCAAAGCCTTAAAGAAAAAATTATTCCTACTAAACATTTTTTTTCTTTTTCTTCCTTAGATAAGTAGGACACAAGAAAGACAAAGCAGGCTGAAAAACAGACTCCAGATGAATCCAGCTGCCCAAGCATCATCTTCACTTCAGCATGGTTGGGTTCCTTTTCAACCAAATACATCTGCTCAACAAAAATCTGGAGGCCTTCAAGCCCATTTGAATCCTGCTGGTTCAAAGAGATCTGATAAGACTAAATCCAGTCAAAATTCTGCAGTACAACAAAGTAGCCAACTATACTCAAATTATCTGAATTCACCAGTTAAACCAAGATCTAGCACTGCCAAGTCTAATACTGTTAAACCTACTCAAAATTTAATTAAAAGTAATAAACGTCTCACAGACAGCTACATTCATTCAAAACTAGGACATTCCCAACTTCCTTCATCTCAAAAAAATATTAAACCCAAAACTGTGTCAAACTTATTAATTAACCCACACATACGTAACCAATCACTCTCTCAGTCAAAAGCATCTGAACAAAAACAAACTAAAAGTAAAAAAGTACAGCATATTATAAAGGGAAATTACCTAAATGGAACTAAAAAACATCAAATTAGCCAACTAAAAGCTCATCAAAAATCTGCACATCTAGAAAGCCAACTCCAGAATAACATAAATAAACCAGCTGACAAAGGAGTTCGCAGTACTGAAACTTATCTAGTCAAAACTGCTAAGAATGTATCAAACAAATCTAAATTTCCTTATAATATAAATATTCAACAGAACCCAGGTCTTACTAAGACACCTGGATTTTCAACAAGTAAAAAAAATAGTCAATATAAAATAAAGCAACAGACAGTAGGTCTGCAGAAAACAGGCAAATCAAGACTTCAGAAAAATAAAGTCATAAAGCAACAACCCAGTCAAATAAAAACTACACAAAATCAAACTAACCAAAGACAACATAATTTTCATAATTCTAGAGCAAAACGAGCCCTGCTGTCAAATCCTAAGGCAACATCAAATGGACAAAACAGGACTAAAGAGACAAAACAACAAAGCAATAAGCTGAGACCCAAAGTCTCCAGGCCTAGACATGACCAACTTGGACAATCAAAACCTAATCAAGTATCTCTTGCACAAAAAAAGAGCCATCAACCCCAAAATAATACAAAAATAACTTCTCACAAAAGATCTACTCCATTCAAATCTCACACAGGCAAAACACATAAAAAATTAGCAATGAAATCTAGGTCTCCTGCACATACTATTAGTCAACAGAGCAGAAACCAAACTAAAACATCTTCACTTTCAAACGTTATAGGAAATGGGAACCAAAAACCAAAGCCTCAGAAAATATCTGGCCAACCAAAAATTGAAAAGAATAAAGTTAAGAAAAAACAACCACGTCTCGTAAGAAACCCTGTAAGAAAACAAAATGATCAGAGAAAAACCAATTTCAACACTACAGAAACAAAACAGACTAGAATCTTTAAGCCCAAAGCAAAAGAAAATGATCAAAAGAGGTTGGTGATAGCCATGCGTGGACCTCATCCATCTGGTCAATCAAATACTCAGCAAAAATCTCCTGAACCACAGAGTAGCCACAAAATTCAAAGCCCCAGATATTCAACAACTCACAAAATACCCAGACCAACCAAATCTCACCAAAACAAAACTGCTAAAAAATTACCAAAGAAATCCCAACCTCATACTACTACCAACCTTCAACAGAACCCAAAACAATCTAAGCCTTCTGAATCTTCAATTGGTAAAAGAAATAGTCAACACCAAGCTAAACTACAAAAAACAGTTAGTAAATCAAAACTTCATAAAAAACCCATCAGAGACCAATCCAGTCAAATGAAAACTTTAATACAAAAGGAAACTGACCAGAAAAACCATCATTTCAATATTTCGGAAATAAAACAACATACACCCTCAAACCATAAGCGTAGAGCAAATGGAGGCAACAGAAATAAATATATAAAACATAAACCTGAGCCAACTGGGCCTAGACTTCACCAAGTTGGTCAACCCAAGACTGGTCAAATAAATCACACACAAAATGTCAACCACCCTCCAAATCAAAGAAATTCAAGAGCTCCCCCCACAATTAATAAAGCCAAATCTTGGCAAAGAAAAACTGTTAAAAACGTTTTAAGAAATCCTAATCCCAGATCCAAAGTTCAACAAAATCCAAAAAGACCCAAGTCACCTGCAGTTTCAATTGGTAAAAGAAATAGTCACCATCAAACTGAGCCACAAGCATTGGGTCTACAAAAAACATATGTCCAACCCAAACTTCATAATAAAGAAACAAAGGAACAACAAATCAGTCAAACAAAGACTCCTATAAAAAAACAAATTAGCCAAAGAAAAAATCATTTAAATACTGTTAAACTACCTCTAAACTCAAAACCTATTGCAAATAAAACAAACAAAACCGAAATGGTAAGGAACCAACCTAGTAAACAAAGACGTCATCCTTCCGGCCAATCAAGACCGCTTCAAAAATCTCCTGTGCAAAAACATCTTCACCAACCTCCAAATTATAGGAATTCATCAGTTCTTAAGAAACCTAGAATTAAAAACTTACCAACGAGACCTAAAACTCAGTCTGGTAGCAAATTTCAACAAAGCCCAAAACTACCCAAACTACCTTCAGTTCCAAATGGTCCAAAAGGTAAACATCGCACTGAACCACAAGCACAAGGTCCAAGGAAAACACCTGGACAAAGAAAACCTTTTGAAAATCCAATCATAAAGCAACAAACAAGTCAAGCAAAGACTGGGCCCAATGTGCTCAATTGTAATCAGACTGTGCCTTCAAAATGTCATTTGAATAAACCAATAAGAAAACAGCCTAGCCAAGGAAAACCTAATGCAAAAGTAATCATAAGACAGGGAAACAAAAAGCCAGAGTATCTACCTTCTCATTGGAGACCTCACCAACCAAGACCTCTGCATCACTATCCTGGCCAACCAAAACCTGAACCAAAGGTGCCTTTGCTCAGTCATCCTGCTGTACAAAACCAGTATTTTAGTCCCTATCCACATAAACCTACCAAGCGCCCTGGCTCAAAGAAACAAGGTCCAAGGCGACCTCGTCCACACAGACCTTCTCAAAAACCAACATTGAAACCTAAACCTGGCTCTCATCATCATTTTCCAGGGGTATGTCCTCCCCTACAACCTGGAAAGTTGCCATTAAATCTTAATCCAGCAGCCTCTAAGCCTCTATCTTCAGGACCATCTTTGCTGATCACCAAAGCTTCCACGACTGTTCAACCTGCATCATATACCAGAAATCCCATCAAAAGCTCTATGCTTTCTAGCACTAAATCTTGCCCAGATTCCAGCTCCATGGTTACAAAATCCACTGCTTCTAACAAATCCATGATTAATACCCCCAAATCCTCCATTACTCCTACCACCAAATCCTCTATCACTAATAAACCTGCCACAATTATTACTACATCCTCTACCACAAAAAAACTTGTGACATCCACCACCAAGTCCTCCACAAGTTTGTATCCTACCACCTTCACCACTAACAAATCTACAATTATCAAGCCTTTGCCTTCTACCTATAAATCTAGTACCACCAACCCCACCACTTCTCCCAAATCCACCAATTCTAAGACTGTTACCTTTACAACCAAATTCACCACAAAGATGAAAACTCCTACTACAAAACTGACTACCTTTACCAAGGCTCAGACAACCAGCACTGAACTTTCAAACAGTAGCAATACCACAGCTGATGCCAACTCATCTGAGACTGTATCTCTCAACCAAGCTGAAATCACTAGTTTCTCTGTCACCAATCCACCTATTACAAACTCTGCTCCAACTACCAAATCTGTGATGAAAACTACTAAATCTCTCACTACCTCCAAAGATGCTGAAGCTACCACTACAACTCCTGTTTCTAATTTATCAACAACTGTCTCAAAAACTACATTTCCTGTCACCAAAAATTCAGCTTCTCAGTCTATATCTCCCACCACTGCACCCACTACTACCACTGCATCAACTGTCAATACAGCCGTGCTATCATCAGCCACTACTACAGTTCTGGTAGGAAGCACCTTAAGAGCTGCTGATACTACAAAGTTGCCAACCACCACCAAGGCTTCTCTCTCTACAGCACCAAGAACCATAGTTGCCTCTACCACATCTGCTCCCGAAGTTACTTCAAGCTCCTTTATCACAGAAGTTTTCCCCACCTTAGTGGATCTCTCTACCACATCTGATGCTTCAATCACTCCCACTTCCTCTACCATTTTTCCTTCAATTTCTTCTACCTCCATCACTGAAACTTTTCTCTCTACTGTGTCTGCTCATAGCAGTACTACACCTACTGCTGTGACCAATTCAACACCTTCTACCACAGCATGGGCTTTCGCTACCACATCTGCTGCTACAACACCTACGTCCACATTTGCGCTGACAGCCAGCTCTACACCTATCACTTCAGAGGCTGATAATAATATGAACCCAGCCACTGCAATTGCAGCTGTGCCCAAAACTGCTCCTACTTCTACAACCACAGAAGTAGCCACTACCACAGATAGTTGGTCCACAACATCAGCTGTCCTTCATACAACAGCATCCACAATGACCATCCCTGAAACAACCACAAATTTTATTTCCACCACTACCACTGTCCCCGCTGTACCTTACTTGACTACAGGACCAGATACCACAGCTTCATTCACTGATTCATTGGCCACAACTCTGGCCTCTACAGATGGCACATCAACATCTTACTCAAGCAGAATTGTTGACACTCCACTTTATTATGAACCCAACACTACTGATTTCACCTCTATGGCCTTCTATACATCACCTGAGACCACAAGCACTTCTGCCTTTTCTAGCAGCACACAGTCAACCACATCCACAGATGTACCTGCTGCCACCACAACTGTTTCTACTACTCTCTCTACAACTTCCTCTCCTTCTATTATCACAGACACTGGCCCCACCACAGCTTCCACCCTTCCAGCACCTACTCCTCCAAACACTACTCATGCTGCCCCCTCCACAACTGAGGTTTCCACCACAACTGTTGCTATTGCTGTCTCTACTAACCCATCTGCTTTGTCTACCTCTTCTAAAGCAGCTACACCCACAAGTATCACCTCTGCTGCCACTAACATACCTGTCATGACCACAGTAGTCTCCACCACAGCTGCTTCCATGGCCACTTCCCCCTTTGTTGCTCCTGGCACCACACAAGCTACCACAATAATGGATTCCCATTCTAGCACCGCACAGGTAGCCACAGATACAGCTGTCCTCTCTGTCTCACCCAGTGAAGTCAGTCACACCACCGCTGCTACCACGACCGTTGCTGCTCTCTCCACCACTCCTTTGGCTGATGCTGTCAGCTCTCCAGCCACCACTCCTGCTGCTTTCACTCCTACTGCCACCACCATCTTACCAGCTTCTTCCACATCTTCCAGCACTTCACCACCTTCTGTCACAACATATCCTGAGCACACCTCACCATCAACCACTGTGACCACCCCTGAAATCACCACAAATTCTATTTTTCCTACTATACCTGACTCATCTGCTCTTTTTCCTACTATGATGGATGATACTACAGCTTCATCTACTGATGCCATACCAAGTACAGAGGTCATCACAGAAGACTTGACAACCTTTGAGTCTACCACATTTGATGACACTACTTTTGAGTATGATATTGAAACTACAACTCCTGACACTGTCACTACTCTTACTACCACCACCTCTTCAGCTCTTTCTGTCACCACAGAGCCCACCACCACCACTGAAAGGCCCCTCAGCTCACCTGCTGCCACAACCATTTCTCCTCATTCCTCTGCTAAACAGTCTGTCACTACTGGTTCTCTAACCACCACTGCTGCTCATACCACACCTGCTCCTACAACCATGACATCTGTGACCACACCATTAGCTGAGACCACTATTAAACCTGTTTCTTTCACCACACCTGGAGCGTCTATAGCATCATCCAAAAGTACCACATCTGTGGCCACCAACACCCCTACCACGACCACAGAAGTTTCAACCACAGTTAATTCCAATGTAACATCTGATACAACCACATCTGCTCCTTTCATGACCTCAGCTAACATCTCTAACTCCTTTGCTGCATTCAACACCTCACCCCTTGAAACAATCACTTTTGCTTTCTCCACCACAGTTGGGATCTTAACTTCTTCTTCTCCTGCTATCAATGCCACATTTTCCACAACGAGAACTTCTGCTCACTCTTTCAACACTCAAGATGACACCACTACCTCTACTGAAACAACCACTATCTCTACTGCTCTTCCCACAACCTCCTCCACAACAACCACTAGTCAGCCCATCACCACCACAGAACAGGTCTTCTCATCTACTACCACACCTGCTGCCACAAGTATTTTTGTCCCTACCACTTCCTTACTGAGTCCCACTAAAAAAGTTCTTCCCTCAAGTTCATCCATTGCAGTCACAAGCACAGCCCCTGCCACTATGACAATTTCTTCTTCCTCAGCCATTGCTCAGGCTGACACCACTCTCTCTGCTACCACCATCCCTTTTTCTACTGCTCTTCCCACAGCCTCCTCCACATCTTCCACCTCTGTGCCTGCCATCACCACAGCTGCGGTCTCTTCCTCATCTGCTGCCACCTCAGCTGCCACAAGAATGACTGCCCCTTCCAGTACCTCACAAAGTGCCCCTACCATGACTCTTCCCTCAAGTTCATCCGCTGCAGTCATCAGCACAGCCCCTCCCACTACAACCATTTCTTCTTCCCCAACCACCATGCAGTCTGTCTCAGCCACTACTTCTTCTCCTACTACCACACCTACTAACACAACTACCACTGTCAACATGAAAGCTGCCACCTCCACAGCTGAGGTGTTTTCTGAATCAGCTACCACCATCATCATACCTGCTGTGACAAACACATCTGCCTCTTCCAGTATCACACCACCAGCCACAACCACAGCTGTCCCTCCCACCACAACCATTTTTTCTTCACCAACCACCATGCAGTCTGCCTCAGCCACCACATCTACTACTACCACCACACCTACTGACACAACTGCCATTATCAACACAAAGGTTGCCACCTTCACAGCTGAGGTGTTTTCCTCATCAGCTACCAACATAACCACACCTGTTGTGATGAACACATCTGTCTCTTCCAGTACCACACCACCAGCCACTAACACAGCTGTCCTATCTATTTCATCTGCTGCAATTCCCAGCATTACACCTGCCACTATGACCATTTCTTCTTCTTCAACTGCCTTTCATATTGACACCATCCTCCCTGCTACCAGAACACCTTTTTCTCCTGCTCTTCCCACAACTTCCTCCACAACTACCACTACTCAGCCTGTCACTGCCATAGCTCAGATCTCTTCATCTGCAGCCACACCTGCTGCCACAAGTACCTCAGCCTCTTCTGGCTCCTCACAGAGTGCCAGTACCACACCTCTTCTATCAAGTTCATCTGCTGCTGTCACCAGCACAGTCCCTGCCACTATGACCATTTCTTCTTCCCCAGCCACTGCTCAGGCTGACACCACTCTCTCTGCTACCAACATCTCCTTCTCTACTGCTCTTCCCACAGCCTCCTCCACATCTACCACCTCTGGGTCTGTCATCACCACAGCTGTTGTCTCCACCTCATCTGCTCCCACATCTGCTACCAAAAGAACTACTGCCCCTTCCAGCATCTCACAGAGTGCCACTACCATGACTCTTCCTTCAAATTCATCTACTGCAGTCACCATCATCTCACCTGCTACAAGTACATCCGCCTCTTCCAGTACCACACCACCAGCCACAAACACAGCTGTACCTTCTGCCACAACTATTTCTTCTTCCCCAACCACTGTGCAGTCTGCCTCAACCACCACCTCTACTTCTACCACCACACCTACTTATACAACTACCATTGTCAATACAAAGGCTCCCACCTCCACAGCTGAGGTGTTTTCCTCATCAGCTGCCACCATTACCATACCTGCTGTGATGAACACATCTGTCTCTTCCAGTACCACACCACCAGCCATGAACACAGCTGTCCTGTCTATTTCATCTGCTACAAGTCCCAACACCACACCAGCCACTATGACTATTTCTTCTTCTTCAACCACCACTCAGGCTGGCACCACCCTCCCTGCTACCACAACATCTTTTTTTACTGCTCTTACCACAACCTCCTGCACAACTACCACCACCCAGCCTGTCACCTCCACAGCTCAGATCTCTTCGTCTGCAGCCACACCTGCTGCCACAAGTACCTCAGCCCCTTCCAGCTCCTCACAGAGTGCCACTACCACACTTCTTCTGTCAAGCTCAACTGCTGCAATCACCAGTACAGCCTCTGTCACTACAACCATTTCTTCCTCAGCCAGTGCTCAGGCTGACACCACTCCCTCTGCTACCATCATCCCCTTCTCAACTGCTCCTTCCACAGCCTCATCCACATCTACCACCTCTGGGCCTGTCATCACCACAGCTGTGAGCTCCTCCTCATCTGCTGTCACATCTGCTGCCGCAAGTACCACTCCTCCTTCTTGCACCTCACAGAGTGCCACTACCACGACTCTTCCCTCAGGTTCATCTACTGCAGTCACCATCTCCTCACCTGCTACAACAAGTACGTTGGCCTCTTCCAGTACCACACTACCAATCACAAACACAGCTGTACCTTCTGCCACAACCATTTCTTCTTCCTCAACCACCATGCAGTCTGCCTCAACCACCACATCTGCTCCTACCACCACACCTACTTATACAACTACCACTGTCAACACAAAGGTTGCCACCTCCACAGCTGAGGTGTTTTCCTCATCAGCTAGAACCATTACCACACCTGCTGTGATGAGTATATCTGCTTCTTCCAGGACCACACCACCAGCCACAAACACAACTTTGCTATCTATTTCATCTGCTGCAAGTCCCAGCATCACATCTGCCACTACCACCATTTCTTCTTTCTCAGACAATGCTCAGGCTGACACCACCCTCTCTGCTACCACCATACCCTTCTCTACTGCTCTTCCTACAACCTCCTCCACAACTACCACCACTCAGCCTGTCACTTCCACAGCTCAGGTCTTCTCATCTGCAGCCACACCTACTGCCACAAGTACTTCAGCCCCTTCCATCTCCTCACAGAGAGCCACTAACACAGCTCTTCTGTCAAGTTCATCCACTGCAGTCACCTGCACAGCCCCTGCCACTATGAACATATCTTCTTCAACCACTGCTCAGCCTGACACCACCACCTCTGCTACCGCCATATCTGTCCCTTCTGCTCTTGCCATGGCTTCATCCACATCTACCACCACTGTGCCTGTCATCACCACAGCTGTGGTCTCTTCCACAACAGCTGCCACAGGAACTACTGCCCCTTCCAGCACCTCACAGAGAGCCACTACCATGACTCTTCCCTCAAATTCATCTTCTGTAGTCACCAGCACAGCCCCTTCCACCACAATCATTTCTTATTCCTCAGCCAATTCTCAGGCTGACACCACTCTCTCTGCTACCACCATCCCATTCTCTACTGCTTTTCCCACAGCCTCACCCACATCTACCAGCCCTGGGTCTGTCATCACCACAGCTGCAGTCTCCCTCTCATCTGATGCCACAATTACTGCTGCCCCTTCCAGAACCTCACAAGGTGCCACTACCATGACTCTTCCCTCAAGTTCATCTGCTGCAGTCACTAGCACAGCCCCTACCACTCTCACCATGAAGGCTGCTACCTCCACAGCTGAGATGCTTTCTCCATCAACTATCATCATGGCCACACCTGCTGCAGCTAGCACATCTGCCTCTTGCATAACTACACCCCCGGCCACAAACACAGATGTTCTATCTATTTCATCTGCTGCAAGTCCCAGCATCATTCCTGCCACTACCATCTTATCATCTTCCTCAACCATACAGTCTGTTTCTACCACTTCTACCAGCACAGATGACCCTACCACACCTACTCAAACTACCACCACTGCCATCTCAGAGAGAGTCACTACCACAGCTGATCTCTTTTCTACATCAGCTGTCACTACAATTTCTGAGACCTCTTCCACCACCAGTGGTGAATCTTCCTCAGCATCTGCAAACATTACATATGCTGCTACTTACACTGCCATAGCTACTACAGCCAATTTTACTACACTTGCCTCCACAACCACTTCTGCCACTTTTATAAGCACGCAGGCTGCTCCTACCACACCTGGTCGCACTACTACATCTGTTATAACCAGTCCCACACCTACAGCCACAATGACTTCAGCTCCTTCTACCACCATATCTGATGCCTCAAACACTGCTTCCATTAGTACCTCAACAGCCCTCACTACACCTGCTACCACTGCATCAGCTACCACAGCAGTACCCTACACCACTTTAGGTGATGCACTCAGCACACCTGTTTTCACTGAAGAGCTGGCCTCTGACAACCCCATGACACCCACTACCATACATACTTCTAACACATTTGATAGCACGACCTCTCTTGACACCACAATTCCACCTATTGACACCACAAACAATACTGCCATCACTACTGATGACACTTCTCCATTTAGCCTTAGCACATTTTATGACACTACACTTGCCACTAATGATAGCACCACTGATAGTGACACAGCTGAGTTTATATCAGAAGCATTTACAGGAAAGTACAACTGAACCTGAATAATCTTTCACACCCTCTCTAACACAGATCCTGATTTACATGGCAGTAACTTCTTAGTAAGTTTTAACTTGAGTCCAAAATCCTGGACATTCTACTCTTTCTAGACTTACTACTTTATTATTCCTTTTTACTCTTACTAAATTTTTTTCCAGCTATTTCATTCATACATGAATTAAAACTATCAATCAGTTCTATTGCCTATGAAATTATAAAGACTGCTTATATCAATGGATGTGACTAGTTTTTTCTAAAGCATATACCTTTAAAAAAACTAAGAAAATATAAAAGAATTATACCAAAAGATTAACATTGTTTGCTTTGGTGGTAGAATTATAGATGATCTGAGGACTGAGACAGGATGAAATCAAACTGTAACCAAAGAACTCCCTTTGTCTCCCTACTTGACACCCCTTTCTGAACTTTCACAACTCTCCATATCACCTAGAAAATGCTACAAGTGTCCTCTGGATTTGGTAGACACACACACACAAATATAAATCCTTAAAAATATAAACAATTAGAAAGTTATCATATTACTTGCAAGCAAGACAATTTATGAAGACAGGATAACATTCTATTTCTATTTCTGATTAGGATAGATATGATTAAAAATCCTAAATTAGAAGTTTTTTATCAGTTAAAGTTCCAACTATCACCTTTTGTAAATGAATTCAAAGGATCCAACATCATTTATTTTTTATCAATCAGCATCATCAGATTGAATATCCTATAATACAAGCAATCTGAGTTCCCATCCACTTGAGACTGAATATAAACTACTATGTGGCTGCTTCTTATGCAGGGATTTCTATATGACAAGAGTAGCATTATTTAAATATTGTAAAGGAATATTAAGCTAGAAGCAATAAAAAGTAAATTAAAATGAAAGTTAATGTTACAGAATTGAAGATAAGGTTATAGATGACATTTTTATTTTATTTCAATATTCTTGGCTGCTGAAAGATAAGTTTATCCCTTATGGTAGGTTGGGCACAAATTAGTCATTCAAGATGTGTGTGAGAAATGAGTAAAGCTAACCGTTCACTAGTTGATGATATAGTGCTAAAATGAATTGTGGTTCATAAAAGAAAAATTCAACACATATTACTTTTTGCCCTACAGTTGTGTTCCTAAGAAGTTTTATGGAAGTTGATTATTTTTAATCATACTAAAAGTACTAAAAATACTCACTGTATAGGATGCTTCAAATTATAATAAATGCTTATAGTAAGAAAAAGAATGACTGTTGAGGAGCTTTGAATTTTTATTCACGGAATTTACTTAAATATTTAGAGGGTGATTATCAAAAATTGCAGAAATTTATTTCCGGAAACTATGACTGGGTATTTCTCACAGAGCATGTAAAGACTGATGGAGTCATTTCTAAGTCTACAGGATTATTTATGCATAATAAAATTCCTCTTCAGAGTATGTATTAGTGTTACCAAACAGAAATAAATGCCTTCCATCGATAAAAATCTGTAACAAAGAAAATACCTTCATGATTTCATCTAGCTAATAAATATTTGAAATGGTTGTCTTCCTTTTGTGTGTTATTGTGAATAAAGTAATCTGAGAAGGCCCAGGCTTTACTTAATATAACGTGTGTGAAAAATTATGTGCAATGATTAGAAGTAGTCACCTATTTAAAAAGCACTCAAATCCACCTTCAATACTTTCTTTTTATGTTTATGACTCCTCAATCTGGACATATATTTGACTAGAATATATACCTGAATATAAATCAAACCAAAACCAAACCTACTACCATCAAGTCAATTACTACAAGACATAGCCACCCTTTTGGACAAAGTAGAGCTGTCCCACAGGGTTTCTAAGGCTGTAAATCCTTACAGTAGCAGACTAACCCATCTTTCTCAGGAGAGGAGATGGCGGGTTCAAACCACCAAGGTTTTAGTTAGCAGCCAAATGTTTTAACCACTATGCCACAAATCTCATTCATGGATATAACCTGAATATAAGTCAATTCCTAGACTTTCCAGATGAGACTATAACCACAAGGTTTTGAATTTATGATGTACGTATGTAAGTTTCTAGAGACATAGATGAAAGTGTCACTTTTTATTTATAATGATTGGAGTCTCTGGGTCACACAAATGCTTAAGAGCTTGGCTGCTAACCAAAATGTTGAAAGTTCAAATCCATCCAGAAGTTCCTCAGAAGAAAAGCCTGGTGATCTACTTCTGAAAAAATAGTCAGTGAAAACCCTAAAGAGCACAGTTTTACTCCAACACACATGCAGTCGTCATAAATCTGAGTCAACATATGGCAACTTTAAAAAAAAAAAAAACTGATTATTATGGATTAAAATTGTGTTTCCCAAAAATATATGTTGTAAATCCTAACGTGTGGTTATAATCTCATTTGGAAGCAGATTGGGGTTTTTTTATGTTAATGAGCCAGGATTAGTGTAGGGTATCCTTTAATCAATCATTTTTGAGCTATAAAAGAGTTTAAACAAGGAGCTAGCACAGCCCAGACTCCATCTAATCCTCCAGCTATTGGACTAAAATCATACTCAAGTTCAAGTAACAAAAAAGAAAGCAGAGAGGAGGCGGGGCAAGATGGCGGACTAGGCAGAAGGATTGCACAGACCCTCTTCAACAAAGAAAAGGGAAACCAATTAACACAG